TGTGTGTGTGTGTGTGTGTGTGTGTGTGTGTGTGTGTGTGTGTGTGTGTGCGTGTGTGTGTGCGCGTGCTTCTGTATGTGCTTTGGTTGCCTTTCATAAAGACTCACCCTGTGGGTGGTTGGCGGATGCTCTGATGTGGTTTGCTTCTTTTTTTTTCTATCAAACATGTCGTCCTTGTCTCCCCTCCTTCTTTTTAGTGTTTGTTACTCTCTTGTAACACCTCTAATCTTCAGCACTAATATAACCTTATTGTGATGCAAGTGCCTCAAAACACGTACTAAAACAAAACTCACCCTCGTGAGAGTTTTATAATCCGACTTTGGGTCCTGGGAAGCTACTACTCCTAGTTCCGGGGGCGTGGTCTTGCTTTGTGGGCGTGGTCGAGCGGGGGGTGTGGCTCTTGGCACCGTGGCGACCTGGCCGTGGTTGAGGAGGGTTGTGGCGGGAAAGTGTTGTCCGGCGACCGCCGAGAGGTGGGAGGTGTGGGGGGCGTCGCCCTGTGCCTTGTGGCTCAGGTAGCTGTAGGAGTAGCAGCAGAAGAACAAGATGTTGGCGCCGATCAGGAAGGGGTAGATCCTCAACCTCGTCAACTTGAGCATCTTTCCTTCTTCCTCGAATCACCAAACCTGCAAGACATGTTTAGTTTTAGTAGAGGGTTTTACGGCGCTCGCAACTGCATGAGGTCATATGAGCGCCATGGGGTGGGTGTCAACAGAGAAGTCTTTAGGGAATCAGGCTTACTCTGCTCGCCTCTTTAGCTTCAACAGCACAAAGTCTGCTTCGACTATCAAGGCACCCCGGAAATAAGTGGACAAACATACAAAAGAAGTGGAGGAAAATGACAATAGTAAGGATTAGGAAAGAAAAAGCAGCAGCTCCCTGTTGTAGATCAGGCACAGTTATGAGCGTGACATTGATGAATCAGCCCATTTACTATGCTGCTGTAAATGAACGAGAAATGTCACCCCTTTGGAAGTGGCCTAAAGACACTACAGTCAGTGGCACTGCCCCCGGGGGGGGGGGGGGGGGGTTGCAAGACATGGAAAATGTAATGGTAAAATGTGTCATGACGCTGAGGAATCAGGCGCTCGTCAATTCTTGTGTGTGTTTGTGGGGTTATTGGTATCATCTTAAAGCTCTTTCACTTGTCTAGCTTTTGATGAAAAAAAATCATTTATCTTTAATGCAAGTTGAGATATTTGCAATTGAAAGAGGTGGGATCGACTGGTAAAATAAGCGGGGAAATGGCCACCAATGTTTAGAGGTGCTCTGGTGTGGTTTGCTTCTTCTTTCCCATCAAACATCTATCTTCCTTATCTCCCCTTCTTCTTTTTTTATGTTTGTTACTCTCTTGTAACACCTCTAATCTTCTGGCGCTCGTATGACCTTATGCAGTTGCGAGTGCTGTTAAACCTCTACTAAAACTAAAACTAAAAAATGTTTAGTTTTTCATTTCTTCAGCTTGAGAGTCCGTGGAAACAGAACATTTACACTGTTATGCTTTAAACTTTAATTGACGTTTTCCAACACAATCCACCCAGAAATGTGTTCTGTTATGCTGGAAGGTGTTGAGCCAAAAAAACAACAATTCGATAAAAATTCCCACCCTGCGCAAACATGGCAGTTTCTCACTTCACTATTTTGACGAGCGCCTGATTTCACCTAATTGGAAGATTGTTCTCCAAAGTTGATCTTAGCAGGATTTCCCATTTGTGGGGCAGCATGGTGAAATCAGGCGCTCGTCAAAATAATGATATTGAACAAACTGGCATTTTTCTGTCAGTTTGGCAATTTTTGTCGAATTTCTGTTTATAGCTAAACACCATTGTTGTACAATAAAGAACTCATTTCTGTGTGGATTTGACAGAAAATCGTTATTTAAAGGCACACAAAATGAAAGTTTTCAGTTTCCACGACTCATCAAGCTATGGTATGGAAATAACCAGACTCTGGCGGCCATTTTCTCGCTAATTCTAGTTTTGAAACCAGGCGACTCCACCTTCTACAATCTCAGATATCTTGACTTTTATGTATTCAAGATAGATAGGCATTTTTGTCACCGATAGCATGACAACTGAACAAGCTTTAAGGGAGGATGGTTGGGGGGGTGGGGTGGGGGGGGCTACACCTAAAGGCTCTCTCGCTTATCGCTTATAATAATAAATTATTGTAATAATTACTGGATCAAATGTTACCAAACTTCACCCATAGTAACTAACAAGCATAGTAAGGAGTCTTATCCGCAATCAAATTTGAGAAAATGGTTTCGTTTACATGGCTACGGCGGCCATATTGGATTTTATTGACATGTCTTACGTAATGAATACCGCAATAATTTTTCATGAAAATAGATCGGGTTTTTTTTTTTTTTTGGTTTTTTTTTTGCAAGCATATTGCCAAACATTAGGTGTACAAATCTGTGTGTTCAATTTGACCTAAACGGATTGGAACAAATTTGTATGAATTTTTTCCTGAGGTCGTATTCAAGGTTGCAAAAAACGTTCGTGAAAATCCACACTCAAAACAACAAGATCAAAAATCTTTTTCACAATATCAAAAATGCAACAGACAATTTTTTTGAATTACATCTCCTCTTCATTCTGTGAAAGTTTCACGAAGATTGTATGAAAAATGTTGAGAAAACGGGCGATAAAGAAAAATAAAAGATTGACTTTATGAGGAAATGGTGGAGATAAACATGCCCGGTATGGGAAGAAATAAGGCTTTAGGGGGTTCTTATGCGATGAAATAGTTGGAAGAGACGCTGAAGAAGCTAAAAATGCCTTAAAATGCCTACAACTCGAAATCCATAATTTTGAGCTGAATCGGGACTTTTGGGTGTACATCTACCCCCCCCCCCCCCCCACAACCCCCCTCCCTGAAGATGACACCAATAACTCCACATGCCCAAAAATTGACGAGCGCCTGATTCCACCACGTCATGACGCATTATATAAAAACCCACGATCCTTACTTCAAAATGTAGATAGCACTTTTGTTTTAAATATGAAAGACCGTTCTAGACAATAATATAGATCCAGGTCTATTGAATTTTTATCGGGAATTTTTTAACTTCAACCTCAGAATAAAACCGAGCCGTAGTGCGCACTAATGCGAAAACAGACAACTTTAGCCCTGCGCTCTGCTCTGAATTTATTCAGTTGCGAGTGCCGTAAAAACTCTTTTACCAGACTAAATAAACACAAGCAGGCCTACGACATAACGTAGCCCGTACATCGGTCTTGGGCGACCTGCAGGTCAGTGGCATGCTATGGCTTGTTGAACAAGTGGGTGGTTGGCGGGTGCTCTGCTGTGGTTTGCTTCTTGTTTACTATTTAAAACAATCTAGCGTCTGTATCTCTCCCCTCCTTCTTTTTTGTGTTTGTTACTCTCTTGTAACACCTCTAATCTTCGGCACTCATATGACCTTATTGTGCTGCAAGTGCCGTAAAACTCTTACTAAAACTAAAAGACTAAACCCCTGTTAAACAATTAAACCTTCCCAAAAAGTTCTAAATATACGTTTCGCACGCCCAACCCCAACCCCCTATCTCCCTCCCCGTATATAACTCCAAACAGTTGGGGGGTTTTTGTTTTTGTGGAGTTTTTTCAGTTGTGAGGCTCTATTTCAGTATTTCAGTGGTATAGCCAAACATTTTAAGCCACGCGTTAGACGGTCATACGATAATGTTCTGTGCGTTTAAAAATATTGATAAATCAATATCCGCATTGTATCAGGTATGAATGTTGAAAACCTGTGGATCGACCGACCACCTGCCTCAAGGGTTGTATAGAGGCGCTGAAAGAAACGCCTATTGACTGCCAATAGTCCATTCAGATCGCTCTGTGGGCCCACAATTCAGATTATGTTCTTTTCAACCCCAATAGTTTCCTCTTCTTTCTGCTTTCAAGGGCTGAGGAAACCAAGACTGTCTTTCCAGTCTTTGACTTGCGCGCCTTTGCATTCGTCTTGGGGAAATGAAATGAGACGTTCCGACTTTTTGGAGCGATCCACCAAGAGCTGGTTAAACACAGATTGCCGCTAACCCTGGGTCGTTAACCCTATCTGTACGACGTGGGGAACTCTGTGCCTCCACTTAACCCTATCCGTACGTCGTGTTTTACTATCGTATCCGTACGACGTGGGGAACTCTGTGCCACCACTTAACCCTATCCGTACGTCGTGTTTTACTATCGTATTCATACGACGTGGGGAACTCTGTGCCACCACTTAACCCTATCCGTACGTCGTGTTTTACTATCGTATCCATACGACATGGGGAACTCGGTGCCACCACTTTCCAAAGAGGAAATTTACTCGTTAATCCGATCCGTACGCTTTGCATAGCAGTCTGTCAAAAGGATTTTTCTAGAAATACTGAAAGTTTCAAAGAGATCTTCGCACTAGAAGTATTCTAAAATGTGAAAAAATACAACCCTGGGGGTAAAAAAAAGACCCCAGGGCGTACGGATAGGGTTAAGCAAAATTCAGCCGAACATTGAAATCTGTTGGTAGACACCGGCACAGTGCTGCGGGTCTGTTGACTGCCTGAAGGTTTTGACGTTGATGATGATACGGCTGTAGCAAGTGTACAGATTTTTTCAGAATGGGTCTCGTTATTTACCGATCGAACATTCCGAGCTCTAGAAAGCGGTGTCGTTAAAAACATCTTCATAAATTGTCTGAATTGAGCGCCGAAAAGACCTTACGCAGTTGCGAGCGCCGTAAAACTCTTGCCAAATCGTCCGTAACACTGTCTTTGCACTCTTCCACCGGACGGGCTACCATTGTTTACTCCCCGTTTCGTTTTCGTAAGGGTTTTACAGCAGGTGCAACACTATTAAGTCATATTAAGTGCCAGAGATTAGAGGAGTTACGAGAGAGAAACAAAAAATAAAAAAGAAGGAGGGGAGAAAAGGACGACAGATGTTTGATAGGAAAGAAGGAGCAAACCACACCAGAGCACCCTCCAACCACCCACTTTACTCTCCGAACGATACACATTTTTTAGTTTATAAAAGTGACGTGAGGGGACTCTCGTGGTCGGTTAAGGTGTTAGCCTCTCCTTCAAAGGTCCAGGGTTCAAATCCAGATAGCGACGGAAAAATTTTCTTCTCTAAAATTGTTTTCTTTCACCTCCTTTGGTGCTCTCTAGCAATGTTCTGTCGTCTGCTTCCATCTCCTCTTTCTGCACCCCACCCCCTCACCTCCTTTGCCCCCTCTTCTGGGCTCCTGACTCTTTCTGCAGCCTTTCTACTGCTACTCCTTGGCTTCTTCTTACTGCTGTCTTTCAGCCACACCCCTAATCTTCTGGTAGGAAAGATCTACACCTAGCCTTCTCGGACAAGGGCAAAAAATCTCGGAGGACCCGTGTGCAAGTTACGCACGTTAAAGATCCCTTGGTGGTTTAAAATCGATAAGAGTTGCCTTCCGCCACCACCGGGGCAGAATTAAAAAGTTCCTACCTACTGAAAAAGTTTAATGTGTCCTGCGCGCTCATATGACTTTATGCAGTTGCGAGCGACGTAAAACACTCACAAAAAATCACGTGAATCCTGAGAACTAGTGACGTGAAAACGACCATTATGAACAAATCAACCAATGAAATTGACGCCAAATGTTACG